AAACCTGTTCTTGAGCTCTATTTCTCCTTCACTAGCCCGTCTTTTCCTCTGCCTGGTTCTTTTAGTCACATGCTTCCACTGACCACTTTCCTCACCCAGTCTCCCCTCAGAATTCCTCAGTCCTGCTTCCATCTGCAAGTCTGAGCTTTTCCCTTCGCCTCCTCATGTCTTTGCTCCATCATCTGCTCAAACCCCCTTCTAAAGTCAACCAGAGTCTGCACCTGCCTCTCCAATCCTCGGATCTTTTCTTCCATCAGCTCTATCAGATGGCACTTCATGCTGATGAAACTCTTTTCAGGTACCCCCTCCAGGATCATGTACATACCGCAGCTTCCACATCCAGTCATCTTCATTGTGTCTTCCACTACATGAGTCACTCCCACTGCTGCCTCTGTATCTGTCATAGCCTTCCCACCTAAATCCTGTTAATCTGGGAAACACAAACCACACCACCACCCACAGCAAAAACAAACCCCAAACAAGCACCAAAGCTTTGGGGAAGTGTGGCTAGCCTTTATCTTCATAAGCAACTGCTGAAAATTCTTGGGGGAGGGAGAGTGAGCTGAGCCCAGCCCGCACTCACCCTGCAGAGGGGCTCCTGTCCAGTGTGGCTGGGGCTGGCTCCCTGCTGTGGCCTGTTGACTCTTAATGCTCACAAATTCGAACCTGCCACAGCATCACCTGACGTGTGCATCCATGCACAGTTGGGCCTTCCCTTGCAATGTCTCACCCACTCTACCTCCAGTGCCACCAAATGTGGGGCCTCACTCAGGATCCACCCTTTCTTCTGGGACTCTCCTTTCCTACCCCAATCACCTCAGCAACCCTCCTTCCACCAGGACCTCCCCTTAAATCACTTCAGGATCTCCCTCCTTCCCGCCACAATCACTTCAGGACATCCCCCCCTACCCTGAGGGTCCTCTCCCCCATCACCTCAGGATTCCCTCCCTTTCCAGTGCTCTCTGCCAGGACTGAGGAATCTAGCTCCATCTGCTGGGAATCCAGCCTAGAGGCTGGGCCCTCCCCCTACATTGTCCCGTTCCCTTCTTTGCCCCAGTGCCACCCGCCAGAAGTGGAGTTGGGGGGCTGAGTCCCCTCTAGCCCTAGCCACCGCCACCTGTGCTTACCTCTACACTATGCTGAATCAAAGCCCCAGACCTGGATTCCCAAAGACTAATACTCTAAGGCCATGTCTAAACTACAGCCGCCATAGTGGCACAGCTACAGCACTGCCGCTATGCTGTTGGAGTGCAGATGCTTCCTACATCTATGGAAATGGTTTCCATCGGTGTAGTTAATCCACCTCTCCAAGAGGTCACCATGTGACCAAGTGGGGCCAAAAAACCCTGGCAAAAATCTGGGGGCAAGTGACCCCGCATATCGCTTCTAGCTTCTGCCCAGTGGGGTGGGGGGTCTTGGGGCTTCAGCCCCACGGGGAGCACCTGCTGGGGCTCGGGGTTTCAGACCAGCAGGGCATGCTTGCTGGGGGTCAGGGCTTCAGCATCCTGGCTCTCAAACTTTTGAAGATTGTCGTATATGGCTCAGACGATCACCCCGGTACAGAAGGACATGTGTAAAAGACACACAAATGTTGTTTCCATCAGGCCATGACTGTCAGTGTGTAGCATTACAATGAATTAAATGATCAGTGATATAAAACTCTAGACACTAATGTATAACCAACCTATGTGACTAATATTGTTCGGAAGACGATGAGTCTGAAAGACTAACAGAACATGTATGTGTCCCTTTCACTTAATTGTTACAGGCCCGTTTTCTTTGTGACTTAGACTTCATGTCAGTAGGATTTGCACATAATTTTAACTGAAAAGTGGCAGGACGTGGCTCTGCCATCAAACTGATTGACCTAGGTATTTTCCACCAATGACATTTTTCACTTTGCAACGGGCTTCTTCCCCATTTGTGGATAAGGGATGAGAAGGTGGAGCAGAGGAAAGGGAAAAAATAGACGGGGGCAAAGAAGAAGAAATAAAAAAAGAGGATCCAAACATTAAGTACCTACTTACCATAAAGCCTATTTTCTCAGGGGAGGGGCGAGGAAGTGTAAAGAGGGTTAGTGCACTAGCCTTTCACCTTCGGCAATTTGAGTTCAAATCTGAATTTAGGTCACAAATGAAAGTAAGTGTAATGGTCTAATTTTAACCCGCAGCTATCCACATCCACACAAAATCACTGCATGGCTGGTAGCCTTTGCTCATAGACTGGAGTAGCAGAGTTATTGCAAATTAAGACTGAGATGCATTGACAAACATGTATGCGGAAGTTTTCAATGCTTTCAGTACTATACTTGTTTTAAGTTATCTAAACACTATTAGACACTGTTTTCCTGCATAATAAAATTCACTCACATTATCTGCGGGTGTATACACACACACAAACACGTATACATGTATAAATACATACATACATTATAATATATATAGTGTTCCATGACACAAAAAACACTACACAAATAAATATGATATATAGATAAAGGCCATGTCTACACTACTGGCTAACTCGACACTGCAGCAATTGATGCAGTGCTGTCGATTTAGCAGGTCTGGTGAAGACACACTAAATTCATGGGAGAGTGCTTTCTCATCAACATCTGCACTCCACCTCCCCGAGAGCTGGAAGCTATGTCGACGGGAGAGTGTGGTGTAGACACCACTGTAAGTTAACCTAATTTACATCACTGAAATAGCATAACTTAGATTGACTTACAGAGTTAATGTCGACCAGCCCAAACTGTTCTTGGAAGAGTAACACTGAACTGTGAGGCATAGACACTTTCCATCCACACGATATACTTTTTCACCTTTCGTGTTCTTGAACAAATATAGGGTTTGTGTCAACAAAGTATTAAGCATATGCTTAAATTTAGCTCCCACTAGGGAGCTAACAATATAGCCAGTGAAACAACAATTAACTATGTACCATACTTAGGTATGAGTTCCACGACATCCATGGCACATGAAACAATGGAGATTAAATTTACAGTATAGTGGTTATTAAAAAATAACAAACTCCCTTACAGGAATATTGTTCCATAAAACCCAAACATGTCAAGTGAACATCTGCACTTAGTTTTACCTTTTGATGACTTCTACTGTCCTCTCTGTGACAAGTCAAGATTCAGAGAGTGACCTTTGTACATTCAACCAGAGGAGGTGAAGACAGCAGCTTCTAGACTAAATGGCAGTCCTGTAGACATCGACCCTAGCAGATAGTTTTGAGTTTGCTTTCAACCTGATCAGACAGATCCTGGCCCCAGCAAAGCAACCTTAAAGATGCCTTAATTGGGAAATGTCAGGGAATTTTGGGCTGGTATAAAACCAGCATAGTCAGTTTAACTTTAGTCCCCTTAGGAACTAACAGTGCAAGGAGTGTCATGGAGCTAGCTTGGGACAGGGAGGAGACATTGTGGGAAGTGAGTATGATGCATGCCACCAGGAGGTGGGGCCAGAGAGCTAAGTGTTCTATCAATCCCAGCTGAAAGACCTATCCCTAAGGGACTGTTCTAGCTATTGTAAGTTACAGCAGCTATGTGGCTGCTCTAACTTGCCCTGAGGTTTAGTTTGGCTCCTGACAGCATCCAAGATCAGGGGAGGCATAAAAGTCACTTTGGGCTTGTCTAGACAACCCACTAATGCGGGGTGGCCAACCTGAGACTGAGAAGGAGCCAGAATTTACCAATGTATATTGCCAAAGAGCCACAGTAATACATCAGCAGGCCCCCCATCAGCTCCCTTCCTGCCCCCCGCTCCCAGCGCCTCCCAGCCACTGGCAGCCCCGCCGATCAGCGCCTTCCCCTCCCTCCCTGCATCTCTCAATCAGCTGTGTCGTGGTGTGCAGGAGGCTCGGAGGGGGAGGTGAAGGAGCGAGGGCATGGCGGGCTCAGGGGACGGGGCGGGAAGGGGTGGAGTGGGGGGCAGGGCCTGTGGCAGAATCAGAGGTTGAGCAGTGAGCACCCCCCAGCACAGTGGAAAGTTGGTGCCTGTAGCTCCAGCCCCAGAGTCGATGCCTATACAAGGACCCGCATATTAACTTCTGAAAAGCCAGATGTGACTCTGGAGCCACAGGTTGGCCACCCCTGCACTAGTGTATGGAAAGTCGGAGTGTAAATCCACAGTACATTAGTATGCCGTGCACTTCCATGTGGACCCTGCTGCTGCACAGTGAATGTTCATTGGTGCACACTGACCTACTCTCATTTCATAGAGCGGTAAATCAAAGCACACTAGGGAACTTGTGAACAGCAGCAGGGTCCATACAGATAATTAGGATGCAACAGGCTAGTGCACTATAGATTTACTCCCCAGCTTGCCGTGCACTAGCTGTTCATCTATACAAGCCCTTACAGTCAACTATGCCTTCCCTTTACCTAGTATGCTGACAGTGCGCTCTGTATTCTTTTAAAAATAGCCCGTATCTGTGTTTTAAGCACTTCCAAAGGCTTCTCCTTTTTCAGGGGGTACCATATAAGATGTTCATCTTTAGTTGTCTAGTCTTTCCTTGACACATGACCAGACTATTGGGAGCATCTGTACAAGCTGATTTAAGTTGTTGTAAGACTGATGATTAACATTTTCTGTCAAAATAAGAGAATACTCCTGCTGATATTTGAAAGCCACTTTGAAGTACGCAACATCAGAAGGATCTAGCCACATGCTGGTGCATTTCGCTGAGTGCCACAAAACCAAAAGAAGAGGCCAAGGAATAAATGCATACCCTAGATTGAAAAAAACCAGAGAGAGCACTAAAAATGTAAATGTGCACATAAAAAGCTTTCTTTTGTTGTTTATTATGCTAATATAATTCTAATCCTTTTTACAAGAATAATCTTTAATAAAATTAGAAAGTTAGGGCCATAGCATGCCATTGATTCTAGACAAAGATATGTTATTCTGGCAGGGACTTTTGCTTTAAAATACTGGCATGAAGCAGCTAAACAACTACAACTTTTAGTAGGAATATTTATTGAGAAATACACGTACCTGTTGTTTCCTAGGTCAGGATCCGTGGTTTTAGCATCAATGTCATAAATAAAGTGTTCTTGGGAGATTAATACAATATTGTCTGCAGTTTCATTCCTCATGACGGTGATAATGGGGTAACCCATCTGTAGTGTCCATTGATCCATTACCTCTTGGATATTTACAAATTTTCCAACCTTTTTTAGAGCCTTACAAAAAAAAATGTTTTGGTTAAGTATATTGTTGCAATACTAGTATCTAACACATAATACCATTTACTTTTTAAACCAGAGGACCATTAATTTGTCTAGCTGTTTAAATAGCAATTAAGCATCTATACGCACAGGCGCTTTCCACGCCTAAATACAGGATATAAATGGTTAAAAAAATCAATCAAGGAGGAGCCTTCTTTCTAGATACATTTAATATTGCATATCAAAATAAAACAGCTTTAAGAACTGAAAGCAATAAATACTCATGTGGCAAGCTAGAAAATGCAAACACAGTGACAGGGTGGGAGATTCAAAAGCACCTAAGTGACTTAGGAGCACAAGTTCCAATGACTTTCATTTGTACCCCTAAATCATTGAAGCATTTCTGAAAATCCCACCCATACCTAAAAGGAGTGGAGCTTCAGACCTGCTTCCCCACATTTCCAGCATTCACAAAGACTGTGGATGGCCGTTTGCAAATGATTTCCATGATCAGAAAAGGCTAAAAAAGGAGCTGGAAACACTGATGAATATTTTCTCTTGGGATTATTGATTTTGGGTGCCCATCTTGAGATACTTTAAAAAGGTTTGATTTCAGAAAGTGCTGAACATCTGTCCTCTGAAAATCACACCCCTTTAAGGTGTCTCACGCTAGGCATCCAAAATCACTACTCACTGGAAAATCTGGATTCTTATGTCCAACGCTAAGCTGTGCACATGCAGACCTTCCCTAAACCTGCAAACTGTATAAATCTTGCAGCAAATACAGGAATACCTTATTCTAGTTTAATACAGAAACTCTAGAAAAAATACAATTTTAAATAGGTGGAATTAAACCGGGTGGAATTTCAGCTGGAATACAATAAACCCGACAGAAATGGGAGACTCACACCTCATGGGGAGAGAGACTGCAAGCAAGTGAAGGATGGACAGAGACAGCTCTCTCTGCAACCAAGAAATGCCTCTAACTTCCTGCCAATGCTGGAACAGGGACTGAGTGACCCCTAGTGAATCCAAGCAAATCCCAGGAAGAACCCCTTAGAACTCCGTCTGCATGTGAGACATCTTGAGAATGTAGAGGATGACAACAGATATGCTGATAGGTAGGGGAATATGGAATTTTAATTCCCACCATTAACAGGTTTGACATATCCAATGTGACAGTAGTTGCTCATGGCCCAGAATGCAGTCACAATCTTGTGCCTGTATGTTTGCTGTGAGTTCTGCTGTTCTTTGACTAATATGCACTTTTGAGTGCAAATCACTGAGAATTTGCCCCAAAGGCTTTAACATAAGCAAAGGAAAAAGTAAGAAACTGCACAGAATAAGCAAGGGTGGCTTTCAGTACCCTTGTAACCACCTGCAGCTGGTCTAAGGACATCAAATAATAACAGTTGACACCAGAAAATACAATGCCCAGCTTTAAGCCTTTACAAGGTCTGTCCTTCCGACAAATCAGGAATATTTACTTATCAAAAGCCTATTCAATACAAATGCCAAAGCACCGCATTTTCCTGCTCTTTCCTACTTACAGACCTTATCCTGCTCCCACTGAAGTCAGTGGGAGCAGGCCTTCCCTTTATTTGATGTCAATGATATAACACAAACAACTGAAAACATGTTTTTTTATGTTGACGCTTTCTGTGAACCCAAACGGTACTCCTTAGCATTTATTTTTAAATGTGCTCTTGGGCTTAGGCATTTCAATAGGCACTATTCTCTTCCAACCTCGGCATAAAAACACCACTATGGCTTCCTGCTTTTCTCTCAGTGTATTAGGCTATATAGTACTTTACCTCTGACAGGGTATTCCAGAGATCATTTCTGGCTGCATTGCCATACTTGTGAATTGTCAAATAGTCCTACAAAAAATAAAACAAAAATACAAATCAGAAGTTACTGTATACAGGCCAAATAATTACAGCTGTGAATCACTGCTAGTATCAGTTAAATTACATAAATGTTTTCATTTGTTGGAAATCTAGCAATATACAATATGTTCATCCTCAGGGAGTCAATAAACATTTTCTGGAGACTGTTTACAATATATTAAAAATAGAAGATTAAATAAATCCCAATGGAAAAACAAACCAACAATCCCTAGTAAGTTTACATACAGCATTCAGAGTTTTACCTTTTCTAACTAATTTATCAAGATTAGTGTTTCCTATTTACTTTTTAAACACTTGTATAACCTCTGCATCTGTTTCCAGGCAATTCATGGCAATGAGAGAGGCAAATGTCTAAAACAAAGCTCTACTGTTTATTTTAGCAGGTCATTCTGTGGCTAATGTCAAGGACCCACACACTCTGATGACAGCTAGATCTGTTATAAAGTATTTAACCAAGAAATAGGCCATCAGAGCCATTTCCTCATATCTAGTGGGGTTTTGCGGACAGGTGTTTTCCCTTATGATTAAATGCAGAAATAGATAATATTGTTAACTCAGGCTTTAGCATGATATCGTAAAAAGCTTTTCCACATGGGAAGCAACAGAAAATGTGCACGTCACATAAAAGGGGTGCCTATAGTGGAAGAGTATGTGTTTGTGAGCACGTGATCTGAGAATATCTGATAGGGCTGTAAACTGAAGTTTTCTGTTTTTTCAGCCACAGTTGATTATCCATGTTTCCCCTTCAGTAATGAAAAGGCAAAAAAGTAGGAAAAGCCACTCTCCCAAAGGAATGATGAGTAGCCCATAACAGCTCATCAGTCCCAAGCCTCTGAGAAGGAGAGGCTGCCAAATATAAAAATGATGTGTACTTGAGGTCAGAGGTATATCCTACAAGATCTCACCAAATAAAGGTAATTCCCCATATTAATTTTTAAATATATCTCTGGATTAGGCCTGGACCTTCCTGGCATAAAATATTTTCATTTTTATGTGTTAAGCTCTAGGCTACCCTATCAGATTCATGCCTTACTATCTCCCTACAGAATACATAGACAATCATAGATTTGAAATTCAGAAGTGATTATTGGAACAAACTAAGTCTTCTGCAATTGGACTGGGAGATTAAAGCAAAAAAACCTTATAAAATCAAAGGGTTCCCTGCATTAGAATTTCCATCATCTACACTTTATACAATGGTAGGAGACAAACCCTAATTTACAGCACAAAGGTAAAACTGAGGAAATTTTGCTGACTGTGTTATTTGTGCTTTGTGTGAAGTACGATACTATGGGAATAATTAGTGTTTGGAAAGCAAATTTCCTGATGTACAAATTGTAGCACCTGTGACAGATTTAGCTTCTGTCAGCCAACTCATATTACAACAAGCAGCAACTCCCATTTAATCACAGGCTAGAAAAGCTAAATGAGAACACTGGCTCCGTTAACTGCAGTGCCTTGTCTTAACGATGTCATGAAAATAACAGTTGGAAAAAGACAACGTTATAGAGGCTTCACCAATACATTGTGCTTCTGTTTTGTCTAAAAATATAGAGTCTTCTGAGACAGTTAAATATCCAACAGCATCCAAAGCTAATCAGGTTGCACTGTAAATTAAAAGACTAAAACAGGTATACAAAAAAGTCAGAGTAGGTAAATAAACAACAAATACACATGCACATTTTAAAGTGGTGTTAGACAATACAGTTTCCATGAATTCTTCTGTTATTTGTTTACAGAGTTTGTATGTAATAAAATAAGGCAGTGAAACAGTTTGAGAATTTACTCAACAGAGCCAAATAATCTTGTTTACCAGTCTACGACCAGACATCACATTTGGCTTGAATTTTATATTCAGAAAGACTGCAAAGAGAGGCAAATGCTTTCATCCTCTTCCTCTGGCTTTTGACTCACAATATGCAGGTTGATTGGTTTGGACAGACCTCTCCATTTCCAGTTCAGAATTTATTATTTTTGATTAAACATTTTATTGGGTGAAGAAAAACAAAACGAAAAAGGAATGAGACTACAATATAAAACTATATTCCTCACCTGATATAATACTATTTTACATTTTTTTCCACTGCTTTAGAGCTAGATTGAGGCTTTGGGTACAGCTATGAGCAAGGGGTGGTATATAAGCATTACCTCTCCATTTTCTTCCTGCTTCCCCTGACTCTGGTGAGGGGACAGAGGAAGAATGCTGGCTTATACCAACAGTAATTACAACCCCTACCTTCCAGCTAAACTGCACTGGCTAAGGCGTAGTGAGATGCAAGCCAAGGCCCTGTCCTCTCCCCACCCATCTGCTTTGTGGAAAGATCAAACAGGCACCCAGTATCTGCTCCTGCATACCCACACTCAAGGTCTTGGTCGCTCACAGGGGGTTATAAGGTATTCATTATTCTCCTGTGTGGGTGTGTAAGCCACAATCTGGCCCTTATACTGTAAGAAAAAGATCCAAATCAGAAAGCAAAGAGAAACAAGCAAAAGAAAAAGAGAAACAAATCACAGAAGACAAGGGACAGATGACAGCCAAAATATGGCAGCCCAGATCTAAGCTGCACTCAGCACAGTTCAGAAGGGGAGGTGCTAAAGAGGCAATAAGCTACCTTCTCAGACAGACACATTCTTGTGACTATCCTGCTGCCACCAGGCTGGTCCCTGACACAAAGTTGAACAGTCTATCACCTAAAAAACGTGTCTCAACACCTTGGAATTGTTGGGTGTATAGGGATACCTTAACCACCCCACAACTCTCAGACACACCCCCAGTGCCAGGTGGCAGGAGAGAGTTACACAGAAGCCTTTGGTGCCAGCCTTATACCTATGAGGGTTCCTCGACACTGTGGAAATCCACCCCTAGTCAGTTTAGATGGTTTTAATCCTGATTTTCACCATAGGAGCTGTGCAAAGAAGACTCAAGACAGCCAAAGACCTTGCCCAACATGCCATACAAATGAAATACCAAACAAAAGCAGAAAACTGACACTGATATATATATATATATATTTTGCCGAGCTTTAGCTCTAACTCTCTTCTGAAATAAGAAAAGGAGTACTTGTGGCACCTTAGAGACTAACCAATTTATTTGAGCATGAGCTTTCGTGAGCTACAGCTCACTTCATCAGATGTTTACCGTGGAAACTGCAGCAGACTTTATATACACACAGAAATCATGAAACAATACCTCCTCCCACCCCACTGTCCTGCTGGTAATAGCTTATCTAAAGTGATCAACAGGTGGGCCATTTCCAGCACAAATCCAGGTTTTCTCACCCTCCACCCCCCCACACAAATTCACTCTCCTGCTGGTGCTAGCCCATCCAAAGTGACAACTCTTTACATAATCAAGTCGGGCTATTTCCTGCATAGATCAAGGTTTTCTCACATCCCCCCCCACCCCCATACACACACAAACTCACTCTCCTGCTGGTAATAGCTCATCTAAACTGACCATTCTCCAGGTTTAAATCCAAGTTAAACCAGAACATCTGGGGGAGGGGGGGGTAGGAAAAAACAAGAGGAAACAGGCTACCTTGCATAATGACTTAGCCACTCCCAGTCTCTATTTAAGCCTAAATTAATAGTATCCAATTTGCAAATGAATTCCAATTCAGCAGTTTCTCGCTGGAGTCTGGATTTGAAGTTTTTTTGTTTTAAGATAGCGACCTTCATGTCTGTGATTGCGTGACCAGAGAGATTGAAGTGTTCTCTGACTGGTTTATGAATGTTATAATTCTTGACATCTGATTTGTGTCCATTTATTCTTTTACGTAGAGACTGTCCAGTTTGACCAATGTACATGGCAGAGGGGCATTGCTGGCACATGATGGCATATATCACATTGGTGGATGTGCAGGTGAACGAGCCTCTGATAGTGTGGCTGATGTTATTAGGCCCTGTGATGGTGTCCCCTGAATAGATATGTGGGCACAATTGGCAACGGGCTTTGTTGCAAGGATAAATGAAATGAGTCTGTCCTCAACATCTTCCCATTATAACTTTTTAATATGGAGCTACTCCTTGCAAGATAGAAGGATTATAATAATGAAATACGATATATGTGTGTTACTAAAAACTAAACAGAATCAATCATTGCTGGTAGTATGTAAGTTTTTGTTTCAGCTGGGCCTGTTTGGCAAAATAATATTATCGTAATCATTCAAATACCCAAAAGACACCAAAGATCAACCATATCAAAGGAACAAGCTGAAACAATTACCACACAAGCAGGTAAGATCTTGCAAAAGAAGAAGTAAACTGTAATTCTAATGTTTTGTCAAATAATAGACTCAGTCTTTAAAGAAAATTGTAAAGCTTAAATGGTTTGGAAACTATGTTAGCACCTGAATATTGAGGCAAGTGGCTTGAATATTAGAAGATGCAGAAAGCACAGTAAAAAGTGCTAAAAGATTTTGACAGATATTTGTAGTAACAGCATTATTGATTAAACTTACAGGCCATTTATTGTGTTAGTTTTTTAAAAAGCTGGTTACTCGTATTAAATAAGGGCTTTATCCCAACACAATCCAGGCTTTCTCAGTATTGCTAAGGCATTGAACCACTTCAGTTAGAAAAAATTGAACTAATTCCACCATCCAGGAATGATAACACTTATAACTAATAAAAGATGGTGACTGATACATACCTGGAGGTGGAAATAATATAAAAGGTGGAAAAGATAATGTGTGTCTTTCTCTCAGAAGAGAAGTGAGATCTACAGTTGGGAACTGAAACAGATACAAGTCAAATTCTGCTCTTAGTTTTATTTGTCAAGTTGATTGACATAAATGAAGTTACTCCAGATTTACACAGATGTAACTGAAATCGGAATCTGGTACACTATCTACAAGCTGAGAAACTCCACTTTTTCCACTTTGTTTCCTCAGAACAGCTGGACAACTACAATATAAGGAGAATACCATACATTCAAGATGGTTGTAAAATGATTTCAGAATAAGATTTCA